TCACGATGCAGTCCCCACTGGCATTGAACTCACAGAGATCCTCCTGCCTCAGCCTCCTGAGTGCTGGGACTATGGCCATACAGCACTACATCTGGCTTACAGTTATCTTTTATTTTGAGAAAAAGACTTTTTTTTGGGGGGGGTGCAGAAAAATTGTATTGAGTGCCCATGACTTTACAAGCACTGTCTTATGGAGTACTCAGGGTGACCCTAAGTGAGTGCTACATTCCTTATAGCATTTCCCCCCACTTTTACACACCAGAGAGGTAAACCGACTCACCTGAGGGCAAACAGAAAGCTACTGGTAGGGCGTGTATTCAAACTTAAGCTGTCTGGTTCTGGCTAAGTGGTTTTTACACCTCTCTCTCAAATTATCTTTAAAGTATTCTGATTTAAAGTAAACAGTCCTTCCCAAGAACTTGGCCTTAAAAGCTTATGGTGCTCTGGCCATGGTGATGCAAACCTGTAGTCCCAGCACTCTGGAGGCTGAGGCAGGAGGATTGCTGTAAATTCAAGATCAGCCTGGGCTACATATTGAGCTCAAGGCCAGTCCAAGCAACATAGAAAGACTCTGTCTCAAAAAACCAAAAAATAAGTAACAAATAAATTTAAAAAGCAGGGGGACAACTTGGGGATGTAGCTCAGTGCAAAGGTCCTGGGTTTGATCCCCAGTGCCAGGGTTGGAGACGATGGAGGACTCAGAGTGGGACAAGTAGACAATGAACCCAGGGTCACAGGGGAATCACTGTGGCAACCAGGGCTGATGTTGGCCAGGCAGCCCCAGCTTGGGGCCCTGCTTGGGTTTGCTGTGGACTCCAGTAGGGACAGGTCAGGGAGCCCCGCAACATAGCCTGAGCCCAAGGAGGCCGGCATGGGCAAAAAGACAGGCACGAGGCCTGGCCTCCTAGCTGGACCTGACGCTTCTCGGCTGATTCTGGCCAGCTTCTCGCATCATTCAAGTTTGCCATTTCTGTGTTATTTCTCCAACAAATACACAAATCAGCTGTCATAATGTTTCCCCAAACACAACCTCCGGGTCTGTTTACCTCTGAGCCGCAGCTTGCTTCTGACCTGAGCTGAGTTCTCTGCGTCTCCCTCCGCGGGTGTAAAACTCGAATTCCCTGATTCACCGCTTTTTTGACTCAGAGCTGGCTCCAAAGAGGCCAGAAACGCAAGGAAGCCAGAGACAGCTGCGCGCGCGGAGGCAGCTTGGGTGCTGGGGAGACCTGTCCCCGTGCCAGACACCCTTTTAATCCAGAAACAAAGAACTTAAGACTCAAGTTCAAAGCTAACTTCCTAAAAAGGAGCTCAGCAGAAAAGAAAGCTCTCCTCTGACACCCAAGAATGTACTAGGGAATGTTTTTATCACTTGCTGGAGAACAAAACAAGTCTTCATGGAGGTGCGCACTTTCTGAGTGGCCATGCAACAGAGTGGTGGGACTCAGCTGGCTGCCTGCAGCGCTGCCGCTGCCGCTGGAAGTGGCTGGGAGCCTGTGGCCCCCTGGGCGGGGGAGGGGGGGTCATGGGACTCTATCCGGGTGTAGAAAGGCTCTGAGAAGGAAGTTGGGGCTTTCAGTCCAATTATGTGGAAGCAAGGGAAGGGAAAGAAAGCAGCTGAAAGCCTAGAATGAGAGGGGGAGAGCAGGTAGGCGGCTGGGGTCCGCACCTCCCATCCTGCTGGACACTGAGGGCCTGCAGCGGGCACAAGCCACTGCTTGCCACCTGGCTGCAGGGTGTCCTTCAGGATTCCTGTCATGGTGGCCAAACTCCTGGTGCAAGCATATGGGTTAATGTCCATGGAACTGAGTATGACCCTCCCCACAAGTCAGCCATGTGGGGCTGGGTTTTGCCACTTACAAGGGGACCTGGATCAAGGTCCACAGGGTCGAGCCTGCCTTCCTTCCGAGTGCTGGTCCCTGTCCCAGGTACCCAAGCTACTCTTGTCCCTTTAAGGCCACTATCCACATTGCCTGTCCCACAGGAGAGTGGGATTAAGTCAGCACCTATTTTTATTTATGTACTTATTTATTTTTTATTGTAGGGAAGGGTCTATAGGGTATTCAGGGTCTCACTACTAGATCAGACTCGTAGTGATCCACCTGTTTACAACCTCCCAAGAGCTGGGATTACAGGCACGCACCACCACGCCCAGTTGCCATCTCAAGGTGCCCCAGGGGCAGAGCCAGCACACACCCTATTTTTAGACCCATCCAAGTCAGAATAATTGAGAGCTTCAGACCACCAGAGACCCCAAGGCAGGTGCAAGAAGCTCCAAACAAAGTGACAGCAACAGAGGTAAAGCCAGGGGCGATGGAAGTGACAGGTGGATTTCCCACAAGACGCACCACCTGGCCCTGTGAGCTTCTGGGGTTCAGCATCATGGCCAGGGCACCCCCTGCCTTCCCTCTGTCCCAGCGACCTGTGCCTCCCCCGCCTCCTGTAACAAGTGTCCTGTGTCTCTCGGAGGCTGCTATCCACCCTCTTGAGGCCCCTCTGTCCCTTTGTCTTTTTTATTTTATGTTATTTTATTATTTGTACTGGGAATCAGACTCAGGACCTTAAGCTTTCCAGGCAGGCACTTATGCTACTGAGCTATATCCCCAGTTCCCATTCTCTTTAAAGAACATGTAACATTCAATTAGGATGTAAAAACCCACTACCTTCTTTTTAAGTCAGAGGACTGCACTGTTTAACCTATAAAGCTGTGTGCATCAGCTCTCCTGTTGCAGAATAACTGATTTGCAGGGAGGGGGGACCAGGAATCAAACTCAGAACCTTGCACTTGCCAAGCGCTGTGGCTGAGCTATATTCCCAACAAAATAATTAATATCTGATGGAAGAATGTTCAGCGATGCCCAGCTCGGAGGTCACCCCCTCCCTGGGTGCTTCTTGTGATTCTAAGATAAGAGTCCCACCCCTGCCCGGACACCTCCAAAGTGCACAGGGAGGCTGAGGCCAAAAAAAGGGACTCCTTCCTCCTGAGGGATGCCCAGGCCGGGAGGGGAGGCCCTGCTCGCTCAGCCAGCCGACCCCGCTCAGCACTGTGACCAGTGACCATCACGTACTGTGCTTTCTTCCCCGAGCAGACTGCTCACCTGAGGGCCACTGCCATCCCTGAGTGCTGGGACTACAGGCATGTGCCACCATGCCCAGAGAGGACTTTCTGAACAAAGCTCCATTTACACACATACACACACACAGAGCAAAAATCAACAAATGGGGTTATAGCAATGAAAAAGCTTCTGCACACCAAAGGAAACTACCAACAAAGTGAAGAGATAACTTACAGAAATGTGAAAAAAAAAAAAAA